TTGAAGCTTTTGAAGAGGAAGAACAACTTTCTAAAAATGAACACATGAAAGGCCAGCAAGGAGATGGGAATACAAAAGTCTTGCGTGCTTTAAACACCAGAGGGCAGTTTGGTTATCTTGAGGTTTCCAGCCTGTTGTATGACTGTCTTATTAGACATAATGAACTTTGGAAGAAAGTTCTGACAAAGACTGTGTCACTGGACTCTGTCAGGGAATATCTTGGAGATGAGAAACTTTTCAGGTTTAAGGACCTAATAAACAGCCTCAGAGACATGGTTGAGAAAAGATTTGAATTTTTCGACACTTTTTTCACATATTCAGAGTCTTTGAAACAAGATGATCAATCCTACCTTTTCACAACAATAGCAGAATGTTACAAAAAATATGTCGGAGATGCAGAACCAAATGATCAACTCGAAAAAGCCTTCCACAAACTTAAACAAAAACTGGCTGTCACTTCTCCGGGAGTACTTTCATGTATTGAAAGATGCACTAGATCAGACACCAAGGACATTGCTGTATGGTGGAAAGAAATCTGTCAACACAAAGATTCTACTAGACATGCCTTTGCCAACTACGTTTTAGCCAATATCATGCTGATAAATATGAACGAAACTCCCTCCAGCTCCGACTACCAAAGCATCTTTACAGAGAAAAAGCCACTAGCTCCTGAGATGCAACCCGAATTTCACATGTTAGCCCTGTTTGTATTTTGGCCTACAGATAGCGAAGATAAATTGGCCTCAGACCCCCATTACTTTATCAAAACTTTTCAACGTTCCTATGAACAAGAATATAAGTCACTCTTTCAGTCAAGGTACCTTCGGCCCCTGTTTTTTCTTGGACCGGGTCAAGGTCTTAACAGACTTGTTCACAGACGCAACCTTGAAATCTTGTGGACTCAAGATGCACTAAAAGCCTCAAACACAAACTGGAGGAACGACGATATTTTCAGAGATCCAACAGTCCAAGACAAACTTCTCAGAGTTGAAGGGGTGGTGCGAAATTACAGGCTGTATGCAACACTCAGTGGCAAAGAGATTGAATTGGGTGTTAACCGAAAAGACAGCCTCTGGAAATCAGGCCATGTGTTCTTTTATCTTGGATTTACAATCGGTGGTCCTGTTGCTTACAGCGTTCACAGAAGAACTGAGGGTAAGAAAATTAAAAATATTAAAATCCTTACCTTTAACAGTATATACAGTATAACAATTTCACATTATAATAACAACGTCTATTTTAATATAGGTACGTTGATAATTTTACATCACCAGATGCTGCTTCCTCTTTTGAGACGCTCTGCTAGTCCTTTGCTGCATTCACCTTTAGTTGCTGCTTTGTTGCAGGTCTCTTGGTAATCAGTTTTCTTGAAGCATTCTCTGTTGGATTGAGATAAGGTGACATATGTACCCATTGAATTTCCCATTTCTTGGAGACACTGGAAAAATTCTGTCATCATAGATAGAGATATAGATATATATCTTCATCACAATCTGAAGGCGCCCCTGGGGCAGACCCAGGACATGCTGGAGAGATTATGTCTCTTGGCTGTTCTGGATGGATGTTTTTTGTTTGTTTTTGGGGTTTTTTTGTGGTTTTTATTGATGTGTTACGAGTGCTGGAAATTAGATTCGATGTACTTATTGTTAAGAAATTTATAAGAAGATATAGGATTACAGTGTAAAAGTGGAGAAAAAAAGATTTTATGTTAATTTGTTAACTTCACTTGAAAAGGGCCACCTGAGAGAGGTCCGGAGGCTTCTGGCAATAAAATGGTAAGATTGCTGTTTATGTTTTGTGTGTCTGTGTAAAACATATATATATATTTATAAATATACATAAA